TGGAAAAGGCGGAGAGAAATATAGGGATGGAAAGACCGTGGCCACGCGTGGAGCCCCAAACGAGGCGTGCCTAAAGAAACCCGATAACTCTCGGAGCGCGTGTCTGCATATATTTTAAAGCGATGCCGCGCACGTACCGGGAGAAAAGCCATCGATATGGAATATCGTTAACGCTTCCAGATCGGGAGAGAACCCTAGAAGTGTTCCTTGTAAAGCGCCCAATCAATGGCGGCGATAGAATCGGCTACAAAATGGGCACGTACGACTCTCGGCTAACGGGGGGCGTGATACGTCACGGCCAGTTTTGTTTCTTATCTTTAAATCGCAAGAACGGGATCTGATCAAAATGGTCCCGGTCAAAATGGTCCCGGTCAAAATGGTCAAGGACAAAATGGTCCCGGACAAAATGGTCCCGGACAGAATGGTCCCGACTGCCAAACTGGACAAAATGGTCCCAGCGTAGCATTATTTATTTGCTGTGTGCAGGTTTTTATATTTTCCACTCTTGATGGATATTAAAGACTTAGAAAGTAGTTTGGGAAATACTCGTGAAACACAACGCTAACCTTTTTTTATTTTAACTAAATTGCAGTCAAGTGGTTGGGTCAATGTGCAATAAATCAATACTTGCATCCAATGAAAAACGGCACGACAAAAAACGTGGAACAAGCACGAAGGATACAGAGACACATCGTTGGCATAGTCGAATAATAAACAAGGCTCTGTATCCCCCCCCCCCCCCCCCCCCCCCCCCTTGTAGGACCTCATTTTTTGCGCTTTTTTCCCCATACGAGGAACTACTGAACGCCGTGGTTGCAGCTGCGGAAGCAACCGCCGGAACATCACTAAATTCAGGTCTTGTCATCACCGATTTCGAGACTCCTTCTATGAACTCTGCACGTGCTGTGTTCGAAGAAGACGTCACCACAAGAGGATGCTATTTTCATTTTCGCCGAAGCACGTGGCGAAAAATTCAAAAGCTGTCTCTAGTGTTTCTTCATAAGGAGAGTGACGTCTTTCGCCTGTTTGTTGACATGATGAATGGACTGGCATTCCTCCCTTTGGACAACATCGCACGTGGCATTGAGTTTTTGCGCAATACAGCTCCTCCAGAAGCGGGAGATTTGCTTGATACGAACTCCGACAGCACCCAGCTGTGTCACCGGTACGTTTCGCAGAGTTCTCACTAGGAATGGAACGGTGAGACTCCGAAGATGTGCATCTAAATTTCCTCCGAGGATGTGGAACATGCACGTTGCAACGATTTCGGCGACCACAGGACTAACAACCTAGCGGAAGCTTGGAACAGGAAATTTTCAAGCATGATCCGGCACTGCCATCCCGCTATTTGGAGGGCGATCGACGCTTCGCAGTCTCAACAATCCTCTGTCACTACGGTTATGACATGGGAAATGGTCAGACATCTACCAAAGAAGAGGACAAAAAGAATCTACAAAGAGATGCAGCAGCGGCTTGTAACTCTGTGCACATAGTACGTGCATGGGCTCCGTTCCCTGAACGACTTTTTGAGGGGTGTGGGTTATATCAATACATTTTTGTATGAGGCCTCCGCTTCAGCAGTGTCGACTTCTTGTCTCTTAAGTGGTCCATCGAATAAATACGCTCATACTTGGGAAATCAATTTTTGATTTCTTTAAATATACATTGTTCAGATATAGCGATGTTGTCTCTGAAAAACAGAAGACGGTGGTACGACAGGTTCAATTCAGAAAACCACGTCAAGAACCTGTAGTACGTGTATGATAATAATTTTCATTCCGGATATCGTTTTCAAGCACGATAGCGCTAATTTGAAAACTAGTTTTGGCGATAGAAAGATATTTATTACACACGTGGAATGTATCGGTAGAAATCAAGAACCTTTGAGAAATGGGGCTACATTGTATAGATAGAAGGGATTAAAAATTTGTTTCAATTGATTATAATGAAAACGTTAATATTATCCTTGAACGTGTGTCGTAATGAATTTCAAAGTACCAAACCATTTTGTCCTAGCTCTCAAAGTATTGATAAATTCACTTGGGACCATTTTGTCCGGGTTGGTACTTGGGACCACTTTGTCTGGGACCATTTTGTCCGGGACCATTTTTTCCGGGACCATTTTGACCGGGACCATTTTGTCCTACACCCCGCAAGAACAGCTGCGTTTGTAAACTCCTCCTTCCAAGTTCTCCTTTCAATGATTTTGTTTTTAAGAACTTTTTAAGTGGCGTTTTTATTTCTCTTCATTTTTTTTTCTTTCTTCTAAGATACAATGGCACCTAATCAAACGACTCCCTGCTTTCTCGCATTCTTGAATATTATCATTGGTGTTACTGCACCCTCGCCCTTCAACAGCACCTTTATCGCGGCGCAGTGTGAACCATCTCACAAGTTGAGAGTGTACGTTACCAAAAGCACGGATACGAGAGCATCATTACGTACATATATAATGCCTTTCCGTCTGTGACCGATCGAACAAATACGCAATTTCACTGAGTGGGGACCTATTGCTTCCACAGTACAGCACACAACTTCGGATATTAGGGTTGGAGAAACGTCGCACTGTTGCTTTATTTGTGCAGTAGCTATAATTATGTTAGGCAAAATAAAGAGATTCCCTTTTCTCGGCTGCGAAGGCTGTGATTAGTGCTGCGATTATATTCGGCTTATTATAGAAGCACCCGTCAAAACCCTGTACTTGAAGAATTGGTGACACATACAAACACAAAAAAAAAAACATACCCCCCCCCAAAAAAAAAAGAAGAAAACAGAAAGAAAAAAGCGAATTTGGAGAGTAGTATTTTTACGTCTTACTTGCATTTCCTATTTGCGCTATTTTATTTCTACTGAATTACACTGACAACATACTTTACTGGAGTAATAGCTTGTAGGGTGATTTCAGATAAGATCGACCAAAGGGTGGCTGGTCGACATTTTTAAATCAACTGATGTTTTTATATCCTATTGTCTAGTCACTCTAGTGTCTGGTATAAACGAATCCAAACTTAGTTTTGACCAGAAAAAATATTTGGGGACAGGAAAAATCGTAAGGCATGAAGAGGTGGACAGTTGCATTAACGCGCACTGATGGAGGAGGCACGTTTGGGAGTGAATAACTAAAACGATAACATTAGGAGAATTCTAATACTTTTTAGACTCAAACTATGTGTACAGCGTGCTTGTAATATAAAGTAATATTATTTATTTAAACTTGATTTATTTTTCTAAAAATTGCCAAGCGTGCCTGCTCGAACGACAAATGGCAAAATTTGGAGGCCTTTACCTCATGAAATAAGTTATTCGTTATCTCATAACTTGCAAATAATATTTTACTTATATATAGCTATTAATTAAAAAAATAAATAAGGTTTCTGAGTAAAACTATAGTCGGGATATATTTAAGCAAACATGGGGTAAAAATCAAACAACAAAAAATTCCGATGGGAACAAAAAAAAAAAAAAAAAAAACTCCTGCGATTTTTTTTTTTAATTTGGGCACGCTGTTGTATTTTATTTTGGTATTCATTTCTATTAAAACATGTTGCATTATTTTATTGAGAAAGAAGAAACAACTCCCCTAAGTAGGATCCTTTTTGAAAGCCTACACTTAGCGGTGCCCTATACTATATATTTGTATTCAGGTGAGGCCATATATTTTTATTCAGATGAGGCCATTGATAACTATAGAAATCGTTCACAAACTAAAATTGAGGAGAAACTAGTGTACAAAGAGCTATCATATTACGAACTATTGATCCGAGAAAAGATCCTGCAGCCATCGGCCACTGAGAACTTTGTTTACTTTATTTTCCTCTCTCTCTTCCCCCCTATCTCCACCTCTTTCTCTCTCTCTTATATATATCCCGACTTATATCTAGAACAAAAACATATTCAAGCATTCCCTTTCTGCGTACGATAGTGTTCTGTGACTAGCAACAATCATTTCCTCGCGAAGATCACGATTATGGCGCGATTGTTGACAGTCTACGACACTCGTCACTAGTTCTGGAAAAACGGCCGATACAATCTTTTTTTCGCATTTCCCCACTCGCTGTCAAGGATGAGGGGGCTCGCTTCAACTAGCAAAATATGGCCGCCGATGAGCAGTCGTGCCTGTCGCCATCCCACTCGCTGGCTTCGCGGGCGATAATATCAAGCATAAAGAGGCACACCGACAAAGAGCAGAACCCCCAAACACTCGAGCCCCGCCTAAATACAATAGAGCGTAAACACTGTCGCCATGTTAACCTAGAAAAGGTTAACATGGCGGCAGTATTTACGTTTTAGGCAAGGAAAAGCATAGCCTGTGGTAAGAGCCGGATCCTTACACGAGGTGCAAGGTGAACTCTAAGAACCTGTCTGGTGCCCTAGAGTACTTCACGAAAGACGAGCTACAATGTTCGCGCCAAGGCCCCATCCAGAAGGACGTAATCTCTCTCATGCTCGAAAACGTTCGTGCCAAAGCGCTTCCTGACACGCTCAATCCGAGAGGCCTTTCGTGTATACAAAGACAAGCATCCTGATTCCGGCGTTGGGCTAACGAAATTTTATTCCTTGCGGCCTAGATGGGTCAAATGTATCCCACGCCAGGAAGTGTGCGTTTGTGTGCGCTGCGCCAATTATTACCTTTGTATTGCCGCTGTAGAGAACGTTACAGGCTCAACATTGAACACTGGTGAAATTAACTCAGCATTTGCGTGCAACCCACTAACAAGTCAAACAGTGTGATCACTGCCCCAAAAGGCCAGTCGCTTACACTCGAGGAACTTCATACCCCAGAGGATGAAGAGATTGTGCTTACAACATGGGAGTCCAGCGACCTCCAGTGAAACAAAAAAAAAAACCAAAAACAAAACGACAACAACATTGGATCTTGAGATATTTTTGAAAGTCGTTCAAGTAACGGTTGAAGGTTGGATATTTCACATCCCTATCCGACCCACGCAAGACAAAGCGATCTACGGTGAAAAGCAGCTGCATGCAACGCGAGAGCATTGTTGTAGTGTCCTGAGGACACGAAGGAAGGGTCGACTAGTCCATTCGAACGTTGAACGAAAAAGCGTTTTTAATGCGAGTCATAGGTTGCCAGATCACGTTATGGTATGTACAGTGTTGCCAACATAAAAGCAGAACACAACATCATCCCCCCCTGAAAAACGAAACAACTAAGCAAAAAATGGCTAATTTATATGAAAGTCCTGCAGACGGGAGGGACGCCGTCGTTCTCTTGTCGACGGTCCTCTGCAAGGTCCGTCCGACCACGTCGTTCCTCGAGCCTGTGTAGGCGCCGCAGAATCTTCCAGTCGAAGTCCAACAACAGGACATTCATCTTGTGACACTTGTACCGGCGATGTCAAAACTTCCCGACGTTGTTCTTCAATGGAATCTGGTCCAATCGTAATTTGTATTGGCGTCTCCGAAACTGCTAGGCGATGTTCGTCAACCAAGTCTGCGCCTCCAGAAACTTGACATGGTGTTGCCAAAGCTTCGCGATTCTCCCCAACGGAGTATTCGCCTTGGTTGTCCGAGACGGTTCTCCTGGCTGACTGCTCTTGATCTCCAGGAACGGGTAGCAAGTGTAGCAACCGTTTACTTCTTTCCGTGACGCACTCCTCAGGCACAGCCACCAGCTTGGAGGCATTCCAGCTGCGTCCGTCTTCCAAGCGGAAAGTGCCTGGACCCACCTGTTTTTGTATTTTCAGTGGTCGGGAATATGATAGCTCACCCTTACCGCCATTTGTGGGTTTACGAACCCGTACGAAATCTCCCTCTTTGAATTTTGGAGTTTTGGCACTTCTTTTTGCATCTGTGTACTCCTTCGTCGAGCGCTGCTTGCTTTGGACACGAGCTCGTAACTGTTCCATTGCCGTGGCTGGCTCCTGGAAGAAGTTCTTTGACGGAAGGCCCATGATGTCAAGTCGGGTCCTTGGTTGACGACCGTGGAGGAGCTGAGCAGGAGACACTCCTGTGGTTGAGTGTGGGGTAGACCGATATACGCCCAAGTAGTCCACGACGGCTTCTTTAAGCGGTCGTCCTTCCAAAACTGCAACTTGAATAAAGTCCTTCAGACTCCTGTTGAATCGTTCGACCAACCCATTGGCCTGTGGGTAGTATACCGACGAGACACAGTGCTTGATTCCTCTTTGGTTCAGGAAGTCTTCAAAAAGCTTTGACTTGAACTGTGGCCCGTTGTCTGTTACGAGTTCTTCCGGATAGCCCTCCCGACTGAACACGCCTCGTAAGAAATCTATCACCGCTTGTGACGTAACTGTATTTGCAAAACAAACTTCCGGCCACTTGGAATGGTAGTCCACAAGGGTGACGACAAACTTAGGACCTGCGGTGGTCAGGTTCAGCGGGCCCACGATGTCCATAGCCAGCTTCTGCCAGGGCTTTTCCGGGAGAGTAACTGGACGTAGTGGTGCCACGACCGGTTTGGCTGACTTGTCGGCTGATTGGCACACGTGACAACTTCGCACGGCACACTCCACCTGCCTGTCCATCCGGGGCCACCAGAACTTGTCTCGAAGTCTTTGTTTGGTTTTCACGATGCCAGGGTGTGCCTCGTGTGCAAAAGAAACCAAGTCCGAGGTCAGCGAATCCGGCACAACAACTTTGTCTTCCCTGAAGACTATGCCATCCACCATAGACAATTCTTCCCTAAGCTGGAAGAAAGGCATCAGCTCCTGAGTGAGCATCCTCTTTGCCGGCCATCCCTTCTCAAGGTACTTGGTCACTAGCTGTAGGGTAGAATCCTTGGCCGTTGCGACTTGTACTTGATCCTTGGTGATGCAAGATGACACTAAAGACACAACTTCTTCCTCCATCTCTGGCTCTGCTGCTGCCACCAAAGGTAGTCGGGACAGCGCATCTGCGACAGCATTGTCGCTGCCTCTCTGATAGACAATGTCGAAATTGTAGTAAAGAAGTCTCGCTGACCACCTTGCAATTCGTAGTGGCCTCCTGCCGGAACCTCTGGACGATAACAGAGTCACAAGCGCCTGGTGATCCGTTCTAAGTAGGAACCTTCGGCCCCAGAGGTAGATGTGCCAATGTTCACAAGCAAACAAACACGCCAACGCCTCCTTTTCCCCAGCAGAGTACCTCCGCTCGGTAGAAGTCAGTGACCTGGATGCAAAGGCCACAGTGTGTAGCTCTTGCCCAGCTTGTTGCTGAAGGACAGCTCCAAGGCCAGTGTCTGATGCATCGGTAGTCACAACTACTGGAAGGTTAGGGTCGAACATCTTGATGACGGGACCCGACGACAGAACCTCTTTGATCTTCTCAAAGCTTCTCTGCGATGCGTCATCCCAAGTGAATGCCTGGCTCTGACGCAGAAGTTTCCTGAGAGGCTCGACCACATCAGAATAGTGTGGGACAAAACGGGAGTAGTAGCCTGCGAGTCCCAGAAATGACCGCAACGCCGAGACGTCCTTCGGTACTGGTGCTTGAACGATGGCCTCCACCTTCGAATGCAGAGGAGCGAGGCCCTCCTTGCCCACCACGTGTCCGAGGAAAGAAAGGTGGTCTACGTCGAACACGCCCTTGTCATTCAGTTGGAGTCCAGCCTCGGAAATGCGCCTCAGGACACGTCTCAGGTTTTCTTGGTGCTCGCTGGTCGTCCTCCCCCACACAATGACATCGTCAATGTAACAGAGAACCCCACTGCATCCTTTCAGGATGAGCGACATCATCTTTTGGAAGGCAGCCGGCGCTGATGCAAGTCCGAAACAGACACGCTTGAACCTAAACAGACCATCGTGGGTGACGAAAGTTGTTAACTCGCGGCTGTCGGGCGTCAGTTCGACCTGGTGGTACGCAGATGCCAAGTCGAGCTTTGAAAACCTGGTAGCACCCACCATCTGGTGCAGCAGCTCCTCAGTATGGGGAAGTGGGAACCCATCCACGATGATGGCTTTGTTCGGTTCCCTCAAGTCGACGCACAACCGGATTGTGCCGTCTTTCTTCCGAACCACGACAATGGGTGAGGTCCATTCCGCTACATCCACCCGCTCGATGATGTCGAGACGTTCCAACCGTTGCAACTCTTCAGACACCTGTTCGCGCAACGTAATGGGCAATCTGCGTAGCTTCGCAGCGACTGGCTTCACCGATGCACGCACCTTGACTTGATGAACGAAGCCCTTGGCCAGGCCAAGCTCGCCCGAAAAAAGATGTGAGAATTCACCGCGTAAATTCACTGGCAGCAATTCCGCTGAGTGCGCGACAGTTTGTAGACAACTGAGCGTGTCGCCGTGGATGTTCAGTTGCAGGTTCTGAATGGCATCCAGTCCAAGAAGTGACTTGCCACGCTGTACAACATGAAACAGAACACACGTGCGTGTGTGTTTGTAGGCCACGTCAGTTAAAAAAGAGCCTTTCACTGGGATGCGCTTTTTGGAATATCCAGCAGCGTCACCGTCGCGTCAGTCAGCGAGCGGCCAGCGAAGTGCTTGTGGAAGATATCTTCACTCAGAAGTGAAACAGACGAGCCGGTGTCGACCAGAAACCGTAATGTCACGCTGTCAACGTCGATGTCGACGTAGATCCCTTTCTCTCGCATGTTGTCAGGGTCCAGGTTCAAAATCGTGACAGAGTTCGTGGCCGCCGACGATTCTTTCGCGGCGTGATTTTCCTGCCGACCTTCTTGCCTCCGCTTCGTCTTGCACACCGCAGCAAAGTGCCCCCGCTTGTTGCAGTTGCGACATGTCTTGTCTTTGGCCGGGCATTCCTTCGCATTCGCGCGGTGCGCAGTCGAGCCGCAACGGTAGCACGACGCAGTCGACGCCTTTCCGGTGCTCCCACTCGTCGGCTTGTCGACAACTCGCTGGACGACGGGGTCTCCAGCAAACTCCTTCAGCTCTCGCTGAGTCTGTTCGATGTGCCTGCCGAGGTCGACCGCGCGATTTAGTGTCAGACTCGTTCCCTCGAAGAGCAGGCGCTCGCGTATCTGCTGCGACGCTGTTCCCTCCAAGAGCTGATCGCATATAGTCTTATCAGCTGCCTCTCCAAAGTTGCAGTCCGACGACAACTCACGAAGTGCGGCGGCGTAGGCTTCGAAGGCTTCTCCCGGCAGTTGACGGCGCTGACGGAAACGATGTCTTTCCATCAGTTCGTTCGTCGCGAATCCCGGAGAAAAGCTCACCGGAGAAAAGCTCACCGGAGAAAAGCTCACCGGAGAGAAGCTCACCGGAGAAAAGCTCACCGCAAAACCGGCGGATGCGGAGAAAAGCTCACCTATTTGTTTTCTTCTTTTTATGTACAGGCTGTTGGATCACGCGTAACATATGTCAATTTATTATCATTAAAAATCGCCGGCTTTGTAAAAAATAAAATGTCCTTTTTTGTAATATTTGTTAAGCTTATTGGTTATATTGCTCCCAAATCAATAATTGCGGGTGAGTGTTTTCTGTGGCTTACTCTCTAAGCGTCGAATGCCTAACTGGAAACTTTATGAACTTGAAGAACAGGAAAAAGTTCGAAAAGTTAATAATGTCTGCCTAGAACCTTAAAATCTGAACTGTAAATGCCCAAAATGCGAAAGTGCATGCGCAACAACGCAGTACCTGAAATTCTTTCTGAGGCCTTTGTTAATCTTTGAAAGCAGGATAAAACAGTCAGTAGGATATCGATGCTTCTTTCTTCCACGGACATGCACGTTTTCTCGCGTTCGTGCTGGTGTTTCCACGCGTTGCCGTTGTGTGATAGTGCCCTTCTACGGCGAGCCAGCCATGACCTTCAGAGCTACGCACTGGCACCGTTGTTACTCGTGACCAGGGATGGGCAAAATACATGCAAATATGTATCGAAATAGAAATACAAAATACTTCGTCAAAAATGTATTTAATGACAAATCTAATTACATTTCCAAAAAATCATTTAAGTACAAGATACAAATACAACCAAATGTATTTGGTCTCCACCAAATACTTTTCCAAATACATTCCTAAAAATTTGCACCAGCGAATTCTGGACACCTGCAACGGGTTTCTGGGTATCTCATTTTAATTTTGCATCGCACACTCGGGTGTTAGTGTGCGAGGCTCTAGTAACGTAATAGAAATATAATCACAAAAAAAATGTAATTAGTTTGGACGTAATAGGTGAAAAAAGTACAGAGCTTCAAGCAGCCTTTTTTGTCGATTACATTTTGGTACAGGCCAACAAAGAACCGAGACGACCAAGACGCGCAGCACTAGCTAGAGAATTTTTTATTGTTGCAACTCGCACCAGTTACGAAAATCTCAACGATCTGCGTATTTAGAATGTTCCAGGCAAAAATATGGATGGAAATCAGGCTGGAAAGCATCTCAAGTTGTCACAGGCACTTATTTAGCCAGTCTGCCTGTGAACGTCGATTTCGTCACTATTCTTGCCCTGGACTAGCACCGTAATCACAAAGTCACTGAACGCTTGTGCTTGATTGAGAGACGCTGCATTCGGTGCAGAACGTAGTTTTCTTCCTGCTCTGGACAGTTACAATAAATTTGAGGGATGTATTTTCGCCCACAAAATTGTCTTTAATTACAATTGTATTTGAAATACCTATGTTTTAGAATTTAAATACACACGTCAAATACATTACCCAATTTGTAATTAAATAGAAATGCAAAATACACAAAGTATTTGAAATACTGCCCATCCCTGCTCGTGACCTATATAAGAAGCGGTCGTCTGTAAAACAGCGAATAGGGCGAGTTGGTAAACGTTATACATGATGAAAACCGCTCAAGCGACGAGTACGGAGTGAAGACAACAAACACGACAGGACGAAGCTGTTCTAGCAACTAAAGTTTTGTTAGTGAAATTAAGAGAAAGAAAGCAGCGTAGCCGACACTGATTACATCAACAAACACCTGCTCATCTATTAGGCACTGCACAATATTTGGAGCTGAAATGGTTCACACACCGCTATTCATACTAGCTCGCAAAGAACAAACCTCTTTATTTTACAGGGCTACCGACGGCGCACTCTCAGCTGTCTATAAAGCGTTGTCTTTTTTTACCGGTGTATGATGTTCTCTGATTTTAAATTTGCGGCTTCATTGATATACAAAATGGGTGATTACAAATTTCTGATGAATTAGTAAATATGCCCAATGAACTTCAAGAATATTACAAAAAAAGAGGACATATTTTTAATGAAGTGACGAATGCGAATTGTGTTAAATTGCGATGTTTGATACCAAATCTTTCAAGTTAAAAAAAAATTGATAAGCTTTTCTCCGTCTGCTCAAAGGCCGGTGAGCTTTTCTCCGCATCTGCCGGTTTTGCGGTGAGCTTTTCTCCGGTGAGCTTATCTCCGGTGAGCTTTTCTCCGGTGAGCTTTTCTCCGGTGAGCTTTTCTCCGCCGCCCGTTCGTCGCAGTCGAGAAGTGGTTGTCCAACACGTCCAGTGCTTCGTCGAATACGTTCTTGTCGTCATGCCCTTCGGTGACTCCTTCCTTTCCTTTTTCTTTGATGACCGATGCCGGAGTAGTCGGTGCGACACTATTGTAGATCCGCTGTCCTTCCAGGCCCAGCGCATTGAGCAAAATGGCCCTCCTGCGTTTTGGCGCGAAGTCGTCGCCGCCAACGGCTTCCAAGTAGTTCAGGAAAGCTAACTTCCACTGCCGCCATGGCACGCACGCTGGTCCCGGCGTAGCGAGGAACGGGGGTGGTGACGGACTGTAACTGAGCATGGCGTCCGCTCACCGGCAGCAGACAGTAGCAGGCCCGGCAGGGTTCTTCAACGGTCTTCCCTCGTCGCCATTATGTAGTGTCCTGAGGACACGAAGGAAGGGTCGACTAGTCTATTCGAACGTTGAACGAAAAAGCGTTTTTAATGCGAGTCATAGGTTGCCAGATCACGTTATGGTATGTACAGTGTTGCCAACATAAAAGCAGAACACAACAATTGTCTTTCATTTTGACTGTTGAAAGCTAGACTATCGTGCTTCCTGACAAAGTTAAAGCATATCACTGAAGAAACAAAAGCTACGATATTTACATGTGTAGTGACGACAAAATAATCTACAAAGAGCGTTGCTATTATCAGTGAGGACCTGTGTGACGACGTCGCTCTCACGTGCTTGACTGTAGAAAAAGTGAAAGAGCTAGTGGGTTGAATACAACGTTGCAGTATACTCGCACGTGACGTACGTAAGTGACGGGGCCGCCAGTCATTTTAAGAATCACAACCATGCTTGACCAGTTTGCACAGAATGATTGACCACAGGCCCAATGGTTCTTTTATACATCTGTGCGTGGGGAAAATGCATGCGACGGAGTTGGCGGACTCGTGACGCACCAGGCCACGCTGAACAGCCCGAGAGAACGTTCAATAAACGCAATTCAGACGGCCAGGACAATGGTGAGTGTTTTACTGGATAAACTGGGTGCATCTTGCGTATCTGGGAGAAAACAAGCTTGTTTGGTATCGTCAAAAAAAGAAGAAAAGTGGCTGACGGTGCGCGCCTTTCCTGGCATTCCGTCTTGGCATGCGTGGCGGCTGTGTAAGTCATCAACAGAAGGAACCTGTGACATATATGTAGCACGGGCAGTCGAATCTGGTTAGAAGAAACTTTATTAAATGAGTACATAAAGGAAAGTCTTCGTGTAAAATGCCGAATTTGATGCCCAAAGACTGGGCATCAAATTATTTATCACAGTTTTCTTTGCTGGGTATTTAGCCTACTATTTTACTTGGTGATAGCTTATAATCTTTATCTCATCACCATACGAGAATCACGAAACGTTATCCTCGCGCAGGATAAAATATTTCGGCTGTCCACAATCTATTTGTACACCGAGAGTATCGAAGCTCTTACAGACCGGCGTGGTGGTACCGCTCACCTGAAAATCAAATCAAAATTTGTGGGGGGGGGGGGGGGGGGGGGGGTTCGTTTTAAACCAACGACGGGCATCTGGCACGCCCCAGCGGAGGATTGAGGATAATTTCGACCACCTGGGGATCTTTTGACGTGCAACCGAAAGCTCGGTTACACGGCGCCTTCTCCGCAATAACCGCTCACCTGAAATGGTTTGTCCCCGGAAATACGTAACTAACCTAAACAATTTAAGTATTCCATCTTTATTTTTGTGTGTGGAAGTAAAGTTGTTTCTTTTATTTTAAATATAAAATATACCGGAAAGTAAAACTTCACACTGCATCTTTTCTGGAGTCACGTACTAGTCTCTAATATACCTCCTTGCACGCTGTATGTAAAATGCTTTATATAGTTTCTCCTCACTTTTGATGTGTGACCGATTGCACTAGTTATCAGTGACCTCATCTGAATAAAGATATATGAAAGATGCGTGGTAGTTTTCTGAAACTGGAACTCAGAGTCACTTCTCGTATAGGGCAGTGCTAAGTGTAGGCATTGATCTGGATGAGCATCGTACAGGCGTGCGGTCGTGTATCACTACTGCTGCGTGGTTCACGTTAA